TCCAATTTGCTCAATCAGATTTTTGTGAGCTTGGCAATGTGCATCACATGCCTCTTTCTTTTCTGTTGCTGCATCATTCGATGGCACATCAGCTTCAAAACCTCCAATTTGCTCAATCAAATTTTTCTGAGCTTGGCAATGTGCATCACATGCCTCTTTCTTTTCTGTTGCTGCATCATTTGATGGCACATCAGCTTCAAAACCTCCAATTTGCTCAATCAAATTTTTCTGAGCTTGGCAATGGGCATCGCATGCCTCTTTCTTTTCTGTTGCTGCATCATTTGATGGCACATCAGCTTTAAATCCTCCAATTTGCTCAATCAAATTTTTCTGAGCTTGGCAATCGGCATCACATGCTTCTTTCTTTTGTGTTTGAGCCAAATCTTGTGATGGCTTTACCGCTTCAGGTGCATTCATTCCAAGATGTTTAATCAACTGCTTTTGCATTTGACAGTGTCTGTCACAAGCCTCTCTTTTTTCTGTGCCAACAAAATTTGAAGACGATCGCTTCTGCTTATCAAAGAGACCCAGTTGATATTGAAGTTGTTTTTGCTCTTGGCAATGCTTGTCACATTCCTCTTTATTGTTCTGCTTTTTATCATCTGGGACAGAATCCATTCTACTTCGGGCATCTTTCTCCAGATGTTTAAGCAAATTATTTTGCTCCTGGCAGTGATCATCGCACGATTCCTTCTTCACGTTGCCATCAAATTTGTGTGAAAGTTCTCCTTGTTTCAAAAAATCACCCTCGTTTGAAATTGGAGGCTCCTTGTCGATTTCTTTACTGCTTTCTTGATATATCTTTTCTTTAATTTTCAAAGGTTTAGCTTCCCCATGCCAGACTATAATTGCCACCATAAACACGCAGACAAGTAACCGACCCCTGTAACAACTATTCCGAGGCATTTTTAACAAAAGTGTCGACTTGGAACAGCAGCCAAGAAAAATTAGACAAGACACTTTGGTAAGAAAGCATACACGATCAAGATGCTTTTATATATCCATATTCTTTTTTCGCAAAACAAATATACTAATTCATGTAGCCCTTTGACGGGGGTGTTGTCCTATTGTATTGAAAACTTCGTTCGCCCATTGTATGTGTGGTAAGTTCTCAGTGTTCTCAGTTTTCCTTTTTCGGTCAGATAATTACCAATGAAGCATGGGTTACTGTATTTGCATCAATTTGTTTACAAAATCCATACATTTCTTTTCACGTAGGTACTTCTCTTTACTAATTTCATCAAAATTTTGTTAGCAATTAAAACTACAACCCAAGAAAGGTAATATATCTATAGTTCAGAGTATTTCAAGGAGCATTAAGTCAACTTTCAAAGGCTTAAGAAGTTTTTCATAGCCAAAATAGACTGATAGAAAATTTAAATGCCGTGCTTAGAGACTGCTATCATCAACTCGATAGGCTTTAGAGCCCACATATTTGGCATTTTCTATTAAATTTAGAGACGACCTCAAAATACGGAGTATTTGCTTGACGAGGCAAAGGTTAAACAGCCACAACTCTTTTACGCAAAAAAAGTTATAAAACGACGGCCATTTTCAACAAAGCCCTAAAAATCTGAAATTTTTATTCAAAGCATTATATTGAATGAATCAATTACAAATGCAATAACCAGTTTCATCAAAACTTAGATTTGATACTTGGCGCCCCCCTAAATGGCAATGCAATTGAAAAAATTTCACCAGCAGGATATGTGAACTTCCTTTGAAAGTAAAGAGCAAATCAAGATCCATTGCTCTTTTGAAACAAGATATTTACACAGCTTCGCAAACAGGTGCACGATAGAGCAAAAAGCTGGTAAAATGACTGAAGAGAAAGAAAATAAACATTCTGTGCCCACTGCTCTTGATAACTAGCTTTTAATAAAATTTGGATCTTTTGTTTCATTTATAATCAATTGGCTTTGCAAAAGGTATTGTCAACATACATTGCTATCAAAGTTAGCAACCTGCCTTCATTTTTATTCATTCTATATCGCAAATTGTTTCAGCTGCGTCTTTTCCTTTTGCCTAATGTCTGCCTACTTTGTGCAACAAGTATACGTAGCGATGTTGGCATTGCAGAGGGTTTTTGGCCTGGTGCTAGAGTGTTTAACAGCAATGCTGAGATCGACATGACCCGTAGCAACTGAATGATCCCAGGATCAAACCTTAGATCGACATACTGTGTTGATATGGCTTGGTTAATCTTTTTGCGAACATCTAGGCTTGTTGTTTGATAAGAAACAATTACTTTCTTAATGTAGTCTACAAGGATCCTTTTTCGCCTCTATACTTCTCAACATTTTCATTCATAGGCCTCATGGTTGTATGAAGCAAGGTGCTGGCTTTTATATATAGTGGTTGGCAATAATTTTGCTAGCATTGTTTTTAATAGTAATTTAAATTTAATAGTGCCAGTATTGTTTTTAACTTGATAAAGCTTGTTACTAGTCTTGTCCTATCATTATTAACAAAGATTGTAATGAAAATCTTTCTGTAAGTTTCATTTTTACGATTATATAATGACAAACTTATCCGAAAGAGATCGGCGAAGTGATGTCTTATAAGGCCAGGGGAAAAATTAGCTGTTCAAGTTTTAAATTGAAAGCTAGACGTGACTTTTTATGGCAATCGCAGGAGAATGGCATACACATATTCTTATTATCTAGAATTTCACACCAAGAATTTAACACGCTGTTTGATGAATTTAGAACATTAGAATTTAGCACATCTGTTTTAAGAATCAGCACGTGCAAGATTTTTGCAACGAAAGACGTTTTTTAATCTTTATCAACTTCGTTTACAAGTAACGTTAAATAGGCCAAGTTTTTAAATTGCTACCTAGTTATAGTTCCACACTATTCTTTCCTACTTTGAATAAAACAAATATCTATAAAAAGTGACAAAAAGGCAGAATCAATAGAAGAAGTAGTATATTGTTTTAATCAATGTAATTTTGAAAGAAAGATTTCCTTCTGTTGCAGTTTAATTTTTCATGAAGGAAATTGGGTTGACAACTGTGCAAACAAAGAGGTTTTAGGATGTAACTTCTTAAGTTCCTCCACTGAAGCATCAAAAGGTATTCTACATAGAATAAAGATCTGGAAACCTCTTTGACAGCTGTCAAAACAAATCGAACATGCGTTGTACACGCTGATCAGAATGGGTTTAATTTTTCTTCAACATTATCAACGATTGAAATTTTGAGCTCAACCAAAGCACGTTAAGATAAAATTTTATGCTTGAATGTGAGGTATTGATAGATGATGAAGTACGAACTTGTGCATTATCAGAAGGCATTGTCTTAAGAATAATCTATAAAAATCTAATCTTTTTTGTCGTTTCTTTACCAACAATCGCCAAAATGATTGTACTAATCTTTTGCTAGGCTGATAAGTAGAGCCGTGTCTTACCTTAAACATGTGCATAGCAACAACCATTTAAAATATCGAAAGAGACCGTTTTTATTTTTATGCTAAAATCTTTAAATTTTCATTCTTGTTTTTATCAAAATTCTTATTGCTGTTTCAAACGTAAGAATCCGCTAGATAAACAATTTTTCATAGATAAATAGTCCTAACATAATAGTCTGATGCATTTAAAAAATACCTTCCTCAGTTATCGAACAATCATTGTTTTTACACCTTGCTATTTACTTGCTACTGCATTTGAAACAGATTTTTAACAGTGCATCCTAGCCCTACATGGCACCTTTCATGTCCTACACTATTGGATGGAACCTTCTTTGCTCACAGGGGCACATATCAACCAGGCATCGATATATATCAACGAGTATTCATTTGTCTTTTAGCAATATATATTTGAACATTTCTAATTAATGAAATCATCTTCGATCAATGCACATTATTCGATCTATCATCGATCTGTACAAGGGAGCTTCCTCTTCTTCTCATAACAATTTATAAACCTGAACCCCGTCCTTCCCTAAAGTACTTCTCTCATCTATGATGTGATGCTCCGGGCTTTTCTGACAAAATCCAATCTAAAGCCATCTGCAACAACTGCAACCTTGTATAGTCTCTCCAACCTCCTTCTCATCGACGAAATGTTGTTGATCTCACTTTTTCACAGATTCTACCGTGGATATTGCTCCGAGAAGACCAAAAATTGGCTCAAGGTCATAAGGATAGGGGGACATGATCTGTTACAGGCTCACTCTCCTGTCACATGTCACGCAGGCGCCGTTAGTTAATAGTCACATGGCATTTAGTTAAATACAGGCCCGTCGGAACCGGGGGGGGGGCTTTTGGGGCTGGAGCCCCCCCAATAATTGTCAAGCTATAGTATGTTTCCTTTATAACAGTGTACTGAATGAGAGAACAAACAATGGGCAGCCCCCCCCCCAATATGAATTTCGTTCCGACGGCACTGAAATATATATTGTAAATAGAGATTTAATCAAGAGTTGATTTTATTCATGAAATATCATTACGCAAGAGTGCGTTATCATTTGCCTCTCGCTCTATCATTAAGTGTTATGAAGCACCTCATACAGATCCAGGGGCTGGGGACTGGGGGCTGGGGAAGGTTGCGCAAATCTCCTGAAGAGTGAGTTATTCATGAAACAGGCTTGTAGAGATAAAACATGTAGTTTTGTTTTCTCCAACTCTTTGCTATATCACGCTCTACATGCGAATGTTTTGAGCATTGTGCTACGGAAATATCAACAGACAACTTTCTATATATATATATTTATCTATAAATCATCTCTTCCCTGTATTACTGCTTTATTTTTCACATGTCCGTCAGCACTTGTTTAACTACCTATGAGTAACTTTTGACATTAATTTTTTACCTTGGAATTTGTTTTCTTCTTAATTATTAGCATCTTAATATTTATGCAATTTGTAATTAATTGCTGAAAATATGAAATGAAATGAAATGAAATGAATTGAAATGAAATAACCAACTAAAAACTAAACAAGTGTTGAACATAAAGTTTGAGCCAACTTGCCTCGTTTAGGATTGGAATGGTGACCTCGTTTCTGCGCTTCATATTAATGAGCAAAAAGAAAATATTCAAAAAGGTCTGAGACATTTTACCTTTTTTGAAATTCCTGAAAGGCTCGAAAAGCTAGAAAATGGATGCCTTTTCGTTTATTGGAAATATCATCGAGTTTGAATGTGGAGAAGACAATATCTATATTGGTTCTGTTCTAGATATTGATGCACAGAAGCAAGAGATTTCTATCAATAACGGTATGATCTTATTGTTTAGGTTGTAGAGTCAAATACTATTTTTGCCAAGGCTGGTCGTTAAAGTAGCCAAGGAAGTGTTAGCGAAGAGCCTGGAAGAACGGTACCTTTAATTTGCAAAATTAGCTGTTAAGTTAAAAGTATCTAGATTTAGAAAATATTAAAGTACAGGTATATTTGAAGATGTTGCAAGGAAAATTTGTTGCTCAGGAACTTTAAAAGGCTCGAAATTGACTGTCTAGAAATATCCAAAGGGGCTATCTGGAAATGCAAGGAGAATTTGATAAGAAAAGTAACTGAACTAAAGGTTCAAACAAAATTGTCTTGTTGTTTGAGGTTTTAGTCAGTTTTCAATCTCATCACTTTGTTTGATTAATATTAAGTCAACAGGACTACTGGGAAAACAGTGTAAATATGTATATATGCATATTACTACTGAAGTATTATCCTGTATAAATATTCAATAATAATAATAATAATAATAATAATTTAATATATAGATTTTTGTCAACAAAAATCTTATACACTGCTGTATTTTTTTTCAAGTTTCATTAAATGGCACCAAACTAGATGTTGCAAGCTTGAAAATCAAGGCTGAAGATATTAATAACCTCACAATACTTAGTCAAACACCAAAGGTGATGTTATATGTTTTTGGCTATTTTTTGTGTGGTGTCCTGATCTATACACCAAAAAGCATATAGAGCTCTACCTATACCACATCTAGCAAGCATTTTCATTGGCTAATGGAGTATGTAGCAAGCATTTTCATTGGCTAATGGGTCATGCAGAATTTTGGTTGCCAAGCCAATCAAAGATTTGGAACCCATGCTCATCTAGTTCTTTATGACAGACCAGTAGACAGTAATTTTCATTTTTTTCTTGTAAATTTATGTCATTATATGTTTTTGCCGTTTCCCAATGCCACTGTTTTAAAGTTATGTCCAGTGGTGGACACCTGGGGGGGGGGGGGGCCCAGGTATTCAAAGTCAGTCCAGAATTCAAGTTCTTAAAAAACTAAAGCTTACGAATGTTAACAAATTGGATTTTACTAATATGAACTGATCTAATTGGATCCATCAAACAATTTCAGTTTCTGCTAAGAATATCAGTTGTATCAAAATAATATACACTTGTTTGATAAAAGTTTCTTGTTTCAAAAAAAATTTGAACTGAACAGCATATGCTTTACTAAAGATTCAGCTACAGTGTCTTTTAGTTTGATTTAATTATATTTTTAGTGAATATTTACCTAGTTTTAGTACTTTTCCTCTGAGGGAGAGGAGTGGCTCCTAATAAATCTCACTGCATTCATGCAGGCGTCTCTTTAAAGATTTTAGTAAGTGCTTGGCATATCGCGCATCTCAGAGCAAAACTTTTCTTCAGGGCAAGTAATTCATAATTTCCTGTTCAAATCGCACGAAAATCCTGTAATATCAGTACTATTGATGTCATTAGCCTTTCTGTTCAATTTTTAAGCTTTGTGGTGCGAAAAGGCATTATACAACTCTTGAATTTAAAATGTCATTGACACCCACAAAATAAACTTGTATGAGATATTATTTTGATCACAACACAAATTTGTTACTGAACAAGCATAGTAGACCATTGACACATTTTTAATCTAAAAGTTACTTCCTGTAAGGGTAACTGTGGCGACGCAGATTTAGAGTAGTCACACCCAACCGGCACAGAGAGTCTTCCATTTTTAAAATTTATTCCGTGTTATGCAATTCCCTAAATGGGGAATGATGACTCCCAGGGCAACAAGACAAAGTTTTTTATAACAATCTTGTCTAGGTGCGTGACGAGGCACGGTGCACAATCATGCACCTTAAACCGAGAGGCCTGTTCATGCTTTATGCTCTGTTCCTTTTTCATTGAATTTTTTTTAATTATGTTGTACTACTAAGTGCAATATATGGGCTTTTATTGTTCTAAGTTAAATCAGTTGTCTTTGTTGAGATGTATTTATTGATATTTGTTACTGAAACTGAAACAAATTTACATTTCAGGAAGAAAAGGCACTTATTCCTGATATAGAACAGAAACCAAGATCTATTGAAAAAAAAGAGAAGAGTAAGTAAAAGAGGCTTTTCTGTATACTAATTTTTTTGTTTTTTAGGGAATTGTGTTTCTCCTTTTTCTTTCAAATCAAAAAGAAACTTCTGAATAAGGAACTTCAAGCAGAGGAACCAATGGAGCTTTTTTAGTAATATGAACAACTCTTGTGATATGGAGGTCCATTTTTTCCTGTCTATTTTGTTAGATGAATTGATCATACCTTCTTTTTCTTGAAAAATGCATTTCTTTAAAGTTTTGATGGCACTTTAAGCAGTGCTCTACATTCTCTTTTTTCAGAGGAAGAAAGATTTAAAAGTAGCCAGGAGCAGATTCCACAAATGAAGAAGAACCAAATCAGAGTTGAGAAGAAGGGCAATAAGAAACAAAAACAGGGAAACCAGGCACTAATGAACAAAGCAGAAAAATACACAACAGAATTTGATTTTGAGGTTTTTGAAGTCATTCTTTATGAAAATTATAAAAGCTCCTAAAATTGTAAGAAGAATTTTGCTTGTTTACTGAAACAACTCTATTTTCAAATGATTTAGCTAATCATCAGCTTATTTCAACTGAATGTTGCTTCTCATATGTACCTAGATATTTTTAATTCATGTGATATAAGATAACTAATGGAGAGTTATGAAACTGAGGGGTGGATTTAGCATTGGAAGAGGGGTTGTACCCCTGTAATTTTTATTGTATCGGAAATAAATTTTGCTTCCATTAGGTAAACAAAAATTTTTTTGGTTGTTAGTAGTAACAAAATAACGCCAAAATTTTACTTTATTGAGCTACTTATTTTCATTACCTTGAAGTTTGAAGCTGAATTTTGAAAATTGGCATTTCCATAATATTCCAGTGACTTGAAGGGTGTTGCACCAAGATTCATTTAGTGTCTAACACCTCCTCTATCATTGTTGCTTGAATTCCCTGGTAAAATATCATAGTTTTCCATTTTTGTATTAGGGAAACCTTGCTCTGTTTGACAAAGAGGCAGAATTCAATGAGCTTAAGGTAGTATTTTTTACCTTTTTTGTGCTATTGTACTCTAATTTCTTATTTTGAATACAGGCTTAAATTATATTTAGATAATATACTTGTATCCTGACAGGAAACATAACAAATTTCATCTTCATTCAAACATTCAAATAAGTTTAGCTAAATAAATTGCTGGTTACACTTAATAAACTACTTGTAAATGATTAAACTAGTTCAGCACAATTGCAAGTTCTTGAATTATTACGTTTTTTCAATGCATGGAAACTAGTCACTTGTTTGGCCCTTTCACAACTAAATTATCATTGTATGCTGCTGATTTTGTCTAGAGCTGGTAGACATGGTAACAACACTCCCCTCCCCTGTGACAATTGTGACAAATCTGGTGGGGAGAAGCTGGTTACCCAATTTTACCAGGTCAATCCCCTGATGGAGCAAAGAATAAAGGGAAAAATCTTGTCTCAAGCATATCAAAACGGCCAAAAATCTTTACCTCCTGTAAACATAAGCCTTTTTGGCCAAAAACTGGCTGCAATTAGGACCAGAACTGGTACTAAGCAGAGTCAGTGTCACTTATGTGAACAGGGTTCCTAATTGCAATTTTATCACACTGCTTAGCTTCTTAACTTTGTAATGCTATTCTTTACTATCTATTTTCATTTTTTCTCAGGAGAACATATTGCAAGGAATCACAAAATCAGTAGTCAGAAATTACAAGGGCAATGAGAATATCCTTGAAAGCGAGCCTGTATCATTGAGACAAAGTAAGTTCAGAGAAGCTTCTACCTGCTTCCCGCCTCTAATATCAGTGTAACACCCCAAATTTAACTTTTTGCTACAACCTTCAGTCTTTAGCACAATTTTTGGTTGCTCAAGGGTATTAGAAAGGTGGTCACGTCTTCATAACTCCAACAACTAAACTTGTGGCTTTATTGGATTATTGCAATGTTTTACCAATAAAAGCAATAACTCCCCCAACTTCAAACTTGTAATTTTGCCTTTACCTTTTTAGTCCATGTGCAAGAAACTATGGTAGTAACAGATAATATATTGGAAATATTTTATTTAGATATTTCCATGTTGATCAGCAAAACCACGCAAGCAAAAAGAAATAGAATGCAAAACATTTTGTTATTTACGTTCATGAATTGCTTTACATTGACAATCATGTTTTTCTCTCATTTTTGATGAGAAACGTTTAAGGTTACGTTTCAAGACATTTTTGGAAAATTCAGAAGTATATTATATGCTATTTCAGTTTTGCAAAATCATAGTTACTGTCTTTTATTCAGGAAAATGACTTGTTTTTCGTTTTCACGAAAATACATTGATTGCTTTCAAATTTTTAGTTCCTAATTGCAGTTATCTTACTTTCTTTAGTCTACATAAAGTAGATGGAGTCCAAGACCAAGCTAGATTATAATTTATGATACTTCAATGCTGTTTCCTGTGAGATGATAGCTCTAGTTCTCTGAGATTTTCACCTGCACTTTTATATAGACTTTCTCGAAGGTTTTGCAGCCTCTTAAGAATTGGCAAAAAAGGATAGTTTGATTAGTATAAACAAATTGAAATAAACCCAGAATGAGCGAAAATAATTTTCACCAATTCTGTGTATTATGTTGTGAAAAGATCAGCATTAGTACTGAAACTGAATTGACATTATGCCCTTTGACCCCAGAAAAGTATGTCGTTGACCTTTAGAAGTGACCTTTGAAGTTTGATCTTTGAATTTTGATTTTTTCCTTTTAAAGGCATTGAGTCATGGTAAATAGGCTTTCTCTATAGGGGGTCATTTGGTTTCGGCGTGATCGCTGCTGCTTCATGTGATATTGGCATCCGTTGTTGACAACTTGCTATTGATGGAAACTGTTATGTTAATCAGTACGAGGTGAGTTCTTGTGACCAGTTCAAGGTCAACCAATAGCATCGCAGTCATGGAAATCATGACTCGGCGGATTTTGGCACTTAGGGTATACCCAGTCTATTTATCATGACTCAATGCCTTTAACTTTTGAATTTTGATTGGCAAATGTTTCTTCCTCAGTTCTAAAAAATCAATGTTTCTAAACAGACTGTTGAGCAGTGCTTCTTTTCGTAGGTTTATTTTGAATGCAGTCATTTGCAGGAAAAAAATCTTTTTATCTCATTATTCTTTTATCTTTTTCTAGTAAAAATACCAGTAGAACATGTTGGCAAAGAGTACGCTACCGATAGTGGCTTTATCGTCCCAGCAATTTCTTCAGAGTTGCGAGATAAACTCTTTACAAAAGCAGGTATTTTTTAATTTTGTTATTGTCGCCAGCCACAATTCTGCTCTTCCTAATCTACTTTTAAATTGACTTAGTTTCCTTTGGTATCAGCCAAGTTAAGATAAGTTCCCTAATTTTTTGCAGTTCCCCATTAACGGTGTTTACATTGGCACATTTTCAGACCCAAACTGTTGATCTAAGGAAAAGATAAATCTGCTGCTGCAAGTTTAAAACTCTTTAAAAGAGACCGATTCTTATTAAGTTTTTGTTTTGATGTTTTTTAGGCTGGAACATTCAGGCATTACAATTTTTAATTTGTCTATCCATATCAGACATCTTGAGCAAAATTTCCATCTCAGAGCTTCTAGACTTTGAAACATTTACCCTGTTATTGAATCCCGGATTCTCAAAACCTGTCTTCTCGAAACGAAATCGACTAACTTGATCTCCTTTCCTCTAGCTTCTCCCGCCTTTCCTTGTTAGGGTTGAGCTTTAGTCCTGCTTCCTCTCTAAATATTGGGGGTTGACTCTGTAACATTATAACCCCATTCCCCCACACATACACACCAAAACACACACACACACACCAACACACACACACACCAACACACACACACACCAACACACACACGCGCTCATCTCTATGTTAAGACTCTAAGACTCTTGTGCATTAGTTTAAAATGACGCATATACTTGTTTCGGAAATCACTGTTGATATCTTGTTGCTTTCATGCAAGCAGTTTTCTCATTATCTCTAGTCATTGTGGTTGGCAGGCATTAAAGATTTAAGATATATTCGATGCCCCGCTATTAAACGGCGCTTAGGCCTACTAACGTAAAATGGCTGAAACCTGTAATTTAATATCGCAAACAAATGGAATCGAGGTCATAGGCCTACAGCCTTTTACGCCTATTATCACGCTTGTCCGGAAATGTTGTCTTTTGGTCAGAAAATCAAATTATTTGATAGCAGTAAGCCGTTAAGTTGATATGCTAAGGCACGTGACATAACATGCCTTGACACACCAGAGTTTTCAGAGTGACTTTTCGTGTAAGCCTGTTAGGCCTCCTTTCTACGTTGGTCATGTTACTGTATTAGCCTTTTAATATCTACATAAGTTCTTTGAAGCTACATTTTGTGGGTTTGGCTCTGTACCTGTTGTCTGTCAAACATTTCTATGCATGTTTCAATAAATGCCACTTTCTTGTCGCTATCGATGTCTGGGTCATTTCTGTCAAAATATTGCACAACATTTTGTCATTGAATTGCATTTAACGTACGGCAGCCCTTCGCTTCATTGTTGCAAGGTGGCATCTCTATTCTGCGGTAGCATCAATGTAAAACTCTGGTGTCGAATTGATATCATAAAAACCAAGGTGGTGTCAAAAAGTCTATGTACAGCTAGTGGTCCCGCGAAGTCCTGCATTGTCCCGCATTTTCCTGCATTGCCTCGCATAGTCCTGCATTGTCTCGAATATACGCTCATTGCTATAAATATGTACCCTGTTTTAGAATTTAATTCAAAGAAGTAAAAGTACATAAGTGAGAAAAGTACAGAATAGTAGATGGTAGAATAAATACATTCAAATTGTTGTTAAAATTTTTGAATATCCAGTCACAAGTTTTTTCGATTAACTTTCAACTTGACGATATTCAATTGGCATGGTAATCTAATTTTTCCACCAATTGAACGTAAGCCAGGCTTTGCTGGATGCAGTTTTTGCTTTTGCATTTTTGCATTTTTTGTTCCATTTTTTCTTGTTTTTCTTTCATGTTTGTTTTTTGGTATTCACTTGTTATTTGGTGTTATCGGAGATCGCTTGTTTCTGTTTGTTTTTTCGATGAAGCTCTAGTCGATGTTACTTAATTCAAAATATTCAAGAAACTTTTGAAGTTTGCTAATGATATGAATTGAGTATTATTTAGAAGTGCTGATTTCAAATAGAAAGTGGTACAGTACAAAGTTTTCCTATATTGTGACCCCTAAAGTTGTTTTCACTCTTTATCGTTTATTACCTGGTTGGTTGGCGAATTAAGAGCGAGAAAAATAATAACTTTTGAATTTTTAGAAAAACTTAGAGATGCACCCTGCTTTTAGTGAAGATGTAGCTCTTAGATCAAGCTTATGATAAAGGGGATAATTTTGAATTTTGGAAGTTGGTGAAGATGAAAATCTGGTCAGGTTTTTGGTTTCCCTGGAGTAACTAGTCACTAAGTAATTAGAGAATACGAGGCTCATCCAGGCTGTGGCAGGGCTTTCTCTGACATGCAAACTAGGGGGACAATGACCTCATCAGTGCCGGTGGCTTTTGCTTTTCTAAAACTATAGACTATTGCTCCTCCTTTCTATGAATAAATGGTTTGGCCTCAACCTGAAGTTCTTCAAAAGGGGTCTCTTTCATTTAAAAAAATCATATAAGTAATTGAAAAAAGGAATGATGAAGAAATTATCAGCTTTTAAGCTTGAATTGCTCAGATAAAAATTTACAAAGTAGCTTGATGTGTTATCAAGACCATGGTGCAATTTGCAGAGGTCTGCTCTTAACTCTAACAGCTCTGATAAATGTTTTTTAAATATATTGTTTTTTTAAAAAAAAATTGCAGTTCTGTAACAACCATGATTTCACAATTTCAAGCATTGTAATAACAAAAATCAACGGTTTCACAATCTAATCTGCTACGATAATATATAAGCAGTTTAAAACTCCAACTAAGTATTACATCAGTTTAAGGTGAGCTGTTTTTTTCTTTGGCATATTTTGTAGGTGGTAACATCCCATTTTTAAAGGAGCTTTATGTGATAAATGGGTTTTTAATTGCATGCCCCTTCTTATGTCACCCCTTATTTGGATGAAACCCTTGGTCACCCCCAACAAGCGCATGACCCATATGTTGAAAACCCACGGTACTCAAGTGTGGCTTGAAGTGGCCTAAGTCGATGCTGTTTGTGCATGAATATATTCTTCACTTATCTGTGAAGAAATAGCTGAGAGCGTTAGTTTTTAATCTTAAGAGAATGCGTGGTTGCATAACGAGATTATTGTGAAGATGAAGGAGAGAGCTAGTTAATACAATTAAACATGTAAAGATGCCCGGTAATTAAGAGTCACAGGTACATCAAAGAACCGCACAAGACAAGCGAATGTAATTTCAATAACAGGATTTCCTCAACACACGTCGCAAAATCAAGTACAACTGTATAGGTCAAGAAAGTCCAGGGTTGATTGAAACGAAAAACAACGCAACGTATGGCAATACAGACAAAGGCAGTGATTTAAAATGCCTGATAGAGGTTCTGTTTGACCATGTTGTAATTGGATTTGGCGAGTTTCTACCAACGGCTCAATGAAAACAATCGCTTGAATAACAACTATTACACAAACAAATAACATATGTTGTCTTAACTAATCTGAGATCGGCCTGTGACACTATAGTTTTCGACGTCATAATATGGTAGCTAATATGTTAGATGATCTGCTTGCCGTTTGTGTGGCAAAGTACGTGGCCCAAAAGATACTACTATTCATTCTCGACTTCAAGTGGATACCCAATGTTTCAATAATTTGCCGTCAAACTCTCACGATACAAGATCCTTTTTGCTTTTGGATTATTTCGCAGGAAGTCAGCAAAAACCATATTGTAATGTCTTGCAAAGCTAATAAAAAGAGACAAAGGTATTTAAGTTAGTACTAGGCCCTAAAGCTAGGACAAATTCGTAGAGAAATACAGGAATTTGGCATTAGCCTCGGTCCCATTGATATTCTCAGCCTCGATGCAAATCTAAATCCATGTTTTGTATGGGGTGTGTAAAGCAAGCAGTAAATCGGTGAGCGACCTAGGGCGCTTGAAATGTAAACAGCGTCGTTTCAGAAGGTGCTTAGCTCTTTGTTGCAATCTTGCAGTGATGAAGAATCATGATTCTTTGTAACAAGAGTCGTGCCAATCTAACAAAATTCATTTTGACGGTAAAAAATTTGAAAATGGATTTGAAAAAACAATCATTTTACAGGATATATTTATATTTTATAAATTGTTCATCTTGTTCTCACGGAACCTTATTCTAACGTTTTATACTCTGAAGAGTGTCAGACGAAAAACTTTCAATAGGCTGTGAAGTGTTTGCTTTTTTCAAAGCCATTTTAAAAATGTTTTCATGGGAAATAGACTTCAAATACCGTATTTTCAATTTGCTTCTAGAAATTTTCTTACCGTGTGTTGTGTAGCAGGCATGTCAACCAAACTTCTTTTTTGAGTGCTGTTAGAAAGAGTTTTTTATCGCAAAACATTGACCCACAAATTGGTATAAAAGTAGGAATTATACTAGAATTATAATAAAATGAATATTACTTTATATAGCATAGCAAATGTTGTGTTATTTATAAAGGTGGCCTATTGGTTTGAAAATCTGGTTTGTTGCTTTTTTATATTAAAAAATAAGTTTTTCTGACATTAAGCATATTTGTTGCGATAAATTTAGAACTAAACAATCCCCAATACCGGTTGAGGAGATATTTATTTGAAATATTCAGTTGCACGTTGTTCATCTTACAGAAAGGGCTGGGCTGAGCGCGATGCAGAGAACAGAGAATGCTGGAGTATGTACGTGCAAAATGGCTTTACAGCTACTCGGTAAGTGTCATTTGCATATATTTAGATATATACAGTTTCCTGAAGATCGCATTGAGCGTGAAACTCTAGGTAGCCTAAGAACCTTCTATGGACCAAAAGATTATGGTGTCTAGTCCATTGAATACTGTCTAAGGCAATAGGAATAATTATGCACCTTAATTATGCACATTGTTTATAGCCTCGATTGCGCATTTATGTTTACTGCAATCATTTATATATATTGAGTCAGTTTTTCCCTGTAACTCTTTTATTTTATCTTGGTTACATCTGATTGTGAATTATTCAAAAGTAACGGACAAGAAACCCAATTCAACAACGAATTCCAGGGGAATACAAAACTTTGTGTTTTCTGCGAAATTGTGTCTTCCTAGGCTGTACAAACTTTTCGGAATAGATGTTAAAGTTATTTGGAAATCAACAGCAAACCTTTGTTCTCTATAAAGCGAGGCTATAGCACCTTTATACATTCTTATGTGATTTTTAACGTGCATAAACTACACTACATAAGAAATTTTGATGAATGAAGTTCGTCTTTTTTGAATATATTTTCTCTAGTTTTGATTTGAGAACCCAGTTCTTCTGTGTATTTGGCTCGTCAATAAGCCTTGATCCTACCTAACTCCAGTTAAGGATACCTTTTCACGATGATACCTGGTTCACCCTTATGCTGCTACTGGGGCCATCAATGCTTCGAACTTCTGACCTGTTCATATTGGCACTGGATAAATGGTTTTAAGAGTTTTTAGTTCTTACGAAGTTATTACATTTTTCTATTTATGATATCGCAATGACTTTAAAAGCTTTGAATTTGGTTATATCTTGGATTGATACTTATTAAATTTTGAAAATCAGATGACTCAAAGCTTGATATATAACGGAACTTGCAGATCTGTCTTTTAAATTTGCAAATCTAGTTTGCTTCTTTGCTTTTCAACTTTTATATTTAGCTTTTTAATCTAGCCTTGATTATTATTTATTGGCAGGCGGAGAGCGACGAATATGTCCGAAAAACGCGCACCAGGCCCCTGAGATTGTTTTGTTAGCCGGACCAAATCTTAGCGGACTTCAAGGTATATGTGCCGCTCGCCATTTGGCAAATCACACGGTAGGTTCTATCTTATATTTCGCTTTTCCTTTTTTTCATTTAGGTAGTTGTTCTGTTTACTTAAGCGTTTAAAACTTGCTAACAAGAACTAAATTAAAAATAGAGAGAGCTTGATCAGGCTGAACTTGGATTCATGATTGCCAGATATGAATTCCTGTCTAGTGAAAATTTTTCTTTAAGGCTGAATTATGAAGTATTTGTAAGTAGGAAAGGTATCGATTTTATTCAAGAAATTTCTAAAAAAACATGCGGGCCTAATTCAGAATTTTCCGAACGAAAGATGATTAAACATAACACATTGTTTGACGTTTTTCACTAAAAAATTTGACTTTTATATGCCTCTGTTTTCTCTTTTGTTAATTTAGCTGAAATCTCCCTCTCGGAGCTTCAATAAAAAGCTAGCAAAGAGGACAGTTGTAAAATATAATTTTGTTCTGTCAAATAAACCATTGCTAACTGGAAAAGTAAAGTTTTTTAAGTAAAGTTTGATTTTTGAAACGTTGAAACTTCCCCTGAGCTATTATCACCAACCGGTTTTAGAATAGGTTGGTGACAATTTGATACTTTTTGTATTTTTCTTAATCATCTTTGTATTTGGATATTTTTTCTTGTAATCTATAAATCTATACTTGTATTTATATTCCCAAATAAAAGTCGATTTCCCTTAACTCAAATTAGTTTCTCCCCGACTCTTTCTTTCCTTTCCACGCCTAATGACATTCACAATCGTAATTATAATGCGCCTCGTATTTCGTGCTTTGAATATACTTTAAATGTTCACTAATCGAAACTAAAAAAGGAAATAGAATTGTTTAGAGTGCACGTAGTAATTTCATGCAGTAAGATATTAGGCCGGTTTTAAAAATATTGTCGCAATGCATGCTGGTTGCGCAAGAGTCTTAAATGATGTATCAATACCTTCATTAAAATAATTCGGTTTTTATTTACTAGGCAACAGTGACATTATTTGTTCCAGAAGTCAATAGCTTGTTGCAGTCGGAGATAGAATTGTTTAAAAAGACAAACGGAGTAATTATCAATACAGTTCAAGGTATGTTTTGCCTTTCTGATTCTTTCCTTATCAACTTTGTTTCTACCAAATGTATGTAATTGCTATACACGAGGAGCTATCTGTGGTCAATTGTCAATCAGTTGACAATAATGTCAATCAATTGACAAGAATGTCAATCAATTGACAAGAATGTCAATCAATTGACAAGAATGTCAATCAATTGACAAGAATGTCAATCAATTGACAAGGATGTCAATCAATTTACAAGGATGTCAATCAGGGGTGATATTCTTTTTCTCAATCTATTTTTGATCCGCAACTGGATATCATTCTGTTGTTCACATTCTAATCATTATCAAATTTATAAACTCAGCCATTCGCTGCACCAAAAGTACGTTGATAAAATTACTTGTAATTTCATCAGTTTGTTAAATTATATACTGCTCAAGAATGTGGATTGTATTTGATGTGGTGAAACGCACTGATCTATACAGAGACTGGATCGAGTCTCTCTTATGACCAGAGTGTCGCCATCACAGGAGAGGGCCCCAGAACAGTCCATGCGAGGAGACGGCCTTCGCTGTGATTCCTAGCCATGCTTTCAGCTGCTCTGGCCTTGTTCTTTTTCATTACTCATACACTCAGCATTGCAGCTCTCGCATATCCATATCATTCAAGTATTGGTTTTGAGGAATATCTTCCCGCTTTTGTTTGGGGGCCCTCGCTCATTTGAAAATGAGTGGACTTCACACTTTGGTGTTTCAATTCAAGATAATAGGAACCTTGAACCTTGAGTATTTTTTTTTACCAGCGGTGAAACGTTCTGATTACTGTAAAGCATGGTTTTTCCAAACAAACCCCCAAGATTTTAAGACTTACCCCTGATAGGCGTATATTTAAATGGGTCCCGTACTGCATTGTGTCTCCGTAATAACTCTGCAGCAAAACTCTTAATCTGAGTTTCATCAAACATATTATAGCTACATATCAAATTATGCAGAGATCAGGGATACAACAATGGTCTGATATAACAGGGTGAATCCTCCATACAGAAGTTTGTTTGCTAGTTTTCTGTTTTGATTTACTGGGTCTTTTTATCAAGCAATGATTTATTTTCTGCGGTGAACCTAACAATTTTGTTAAAAGATAAGAACTTTTTGAAAACCTCAAAATTTAATCAGTTTTTGGAAAAAGCCTTAAGGGCTTACACAAGTTGTCATGGCCTTAAAAGGAGCTTTTTCAGCATGGGAACCTTCAGGATTAATGTAACAAGAGGAACAATAAATTGAAATGTTAAAAGCGTTTGATTTTATTGTTGCAGTACCATAAAACTCTTACTTTATATAGAAGGCAATTTGGCCTAATTATTAAAAGCCAGCGCAAAATCGCTTTGCAACTCAAGCGGGGCTGCAAGTCCTTTTTATTAAAGCCAAATCGAAAGTTTTTATTTTCCTGATATTTTCACGTTAAAGTTAGTTATACTTCTCAAGGAGTTTGTAATCGCAAACTCTGTGTAATCGTTAATGTAATCGCAAACTCCGTGTAAACGTTAATGTAATCGCAAATATATCTAGTAATTATAAGGGTTTTGAAAACAATATCCTAACAATAAGAACTCAAGTTTTGATGATACTCAAAGTTCAGACTTTGCTTTTGTCCCCACTCTCGAATAAACCTTCCCTAAAATTGGCACCTACCCTAACAAGCTCGTTTTTACAATATACAATTTTAGTCCATGATAGATAAAACATTCAACGGAAAAAGAAAAACTGATGGAAACAAAAGTTTTTCAGTTTTTATGTCTATTTCCATAGTTTTATGTTGTTCAAAGTGAAAGTGAAAATAGCGAAAAAGCTTCAAAATGGCGATTTTAATATAATTGTTGCAAGCCAACAACTTTTTTCAAGCCTTTCCTTGGATTAGCCCCCAGGAGGGCTTATTAGGAAGATTTTCGGTATCTATTCGATGCACAAAAAAGTTTTGCTCACATAATTGTTTCTATATCACTTTCTGTATCGTTATCAGCTTATCAGCTTTGCTAAAAATATCAAAAACTATATAATACAGCTTGCAACAAGAAATTTTGTCATAAATTTCATCATCTGTTCAATGAGATATATCATGACATCTCCCCCCTAAACCTGAGGCACCAATCCTAACTGTCTACTGATTTTTCTCAATAATTACAGCTGAGTTGAAAATCAACCTTGTTTTAAATTTTTTTTCTTTTCATGAAATAGAAAAAGTTTCTGATTAAACCTTCTAATCAACGCATAAATTCTTACTAAACCTGAGGAGCAGTCAGTAGATGTAGAATTTTGCTGATGTAGAATTTAGCAACTTTGATTAGGTTTAGCTGGTTCGTAGCTTATACAGTATAGCCACAATTTAGTTGTTGGCTATTCTTTAAAACAAAACAATTTCCTAGATTGCCACGAAGACAATTTCAAAAAATTTCTCCGCCTCTCCCCATCGAAATGACGTTGTTTCGCCACCTTCTGCTTGGATCATACATTATCGCTGCTCTCTATTCAAGATGAATTTGCAGGGAAAGTTTGTATATTTCGAACTGTGATAAGTGCAAGGTCCTCCCATATACTGTGTCAACACAGATGTGGAACCCATCTGAGCGTTGAGCACCGCCTCTTTCGTTTAACGAAACATGCAGTTATTGACTTTCAGTCGCTAATCGCACCGTGCATGCATTTATCTTCATTAATCTTTAACAGTTTTCCATTTTTGATTTCGTGATTCTTCAACATAATACGTTCGATAATGAGAGCTGTTATCATTCATCTATTATGTAGATTGATGAAATGAATGGCCAAGAATAAACTGCATGTCACCGTAGCTTTAGCTAAACTGCAGGTCATCTCATAACGATTGTAAACACTATGTGATTCTTCACGTATTCTTCCATCTCGTTGCTACTCTACAAATTTTCTCCATCTCATTCCATTTCTTCACACTTTACTGATTACCTCTTTTTTCTTTCCCGCCCCTTTCTTCCCCTCGATTTTCCTCTCTTCTCCTCTTCTTTTTACTCTCCTCTCTCTCCATTTTTCCTCATATCTCCCCCTTCTCTTTCCCTTCTCCCTTTCTTCCTTTATAAAGATAAATTTCTGAGCTTGGAATAATGATTAAAGGTTGCTTATGATTAAAAAACAAGACAATCCTCAAACCAACATTTAGGAAAGAAATAATTATAGCTTAAAACGTCCACTGTATCCTTAAAAACATATTTTCTCGCGGAAAAAATTTATGGCATAAGCTGCGATATGAATGAATGGGGTCAAAAAATTTAGCCACATTTAAGACTCGTATAAAGAAATGCAATGCAATAGAAGGTGACTGAAACTATATAAGAGCCCTTTGGCTTAGGTTAGGCTCAACCACTTTTTAGTTAAAAATCATTTTCTTACATCATTTGAATTTTTTTGTCTCTTGTAACCAAGCACATTTTCATAACTAATTTGTAATTATTTTTTGTTAATCCATGAGGGTTTGGTTCTTTTTTACTTTTGGCAATGCCTGCACATCTTTTAGCAAAAAGGATATATAAATCAAAACACAAGGGCTGTTCTACCTCCAAATTTTTACAGCATAGCTATTCATACCAATTCCAATGCTTTTTGTTGAAGTATGGAATATAGATAAATCAAGCATTTTTATTCTGATAATTTTTTATCAATTTTTCCTGTTTATAAGTTTTGTTTAATCTTATTTTGATTAAATAATCTAGACCCAGGCTAGCCAGTTGCAATCTAGCTATGTATAAAAGAGGCTCAAACTATTTCTCTCATATACGCAACAAAACGACAAAAGCAATAACGAAGGAAGTCTTTGTGTCCATTGGTTTTTATAACCCATCTTGTAAAGAGGAGCGCGTTTACTATAACAGGAAACAACAGGAAACAACAAGAAACGAATACAAATGAGAAAAACGATAAGGAAACAAGATGAAACGATTTGTGACTTTGCAGACACGACTAGGTCTCTAAAACGAGGCAAGCTTATCCATCCACGTGAGCATTATCATCTTCGCTGCAGTGGCCTAATTGTTCGGTCATGTCGTTCTCCAATAGCTGTTGTCTTAGATGAAGTTACGAAAACCCAGTGATAATGTTTACTTATTTTTTCACAAAGCTAGTTTTAAGCAAAAGCAACAAAAAACTAAAAGAATAAATTCTAATATATTAGAGGAACAGGCTGTATAGGTTGACAATCTACTTCTTGAATAATGTTTGGGGTGGGGGCCTAACCCTAAAGCCTCTATAATGTTTTGGTAAGTTCCTAAAACAGTTGAATTCAGGGGTAAAAGGCTTGATTATTAGCCGATAATTCAAACGAAGAGCGATGCACTCTTGCAAGATTTTGCCTACAACAAAAGGATTTCTAGGGATTTTCAGATAAAACAATAGGATTTTCACAAAAGGTGTACGAGATTTTCTTAGAGTGATTTGCCCCTCGAATTTAAATTGCTTTATTTCGACCTTCACGGTAGTTGTTCCATGTTAATCCCAATGCCAGCGAGATTTTCTCTTGCAATGCTGGCATTTCATATCAGGCTTCCATAGTTTAACTTCTTTTACAAAAATACCATAATGGCTTCTACTATCATAGCTAATAATGCAGGATTTCCACTAAATAAATAAAATTGTTCCGCAGTTAAAATTTTTCCAAATCGTTTCTTCTTGTTTCTTCTTGTTTCCTAGTCGTTTCTACTCAATTCCCGTTATCTTAACCACCCAAAAGGAGTCTAATTCAACTGGACGAAATCTAAACTCTACGCATTTTTCGAATAAGTTAGTTGAGAGTTTAGCCAGTTAATCAAAATTCAGTTATTAAAATTATTCTGCTTATTTCATTGTCATTTTCATTTTAATATATTAATACACGAATACTCTTACAGCTATTTCTAGAAATACCATAGATAGTCATATATAAAATATGTTTCGCTGGCAACCCCCCTGGCTACTCACTTTGATTCAAACATGAGAATCTTTTAGAACAATAGGTGCGTTTGCCGGGCGCGCACG